TACTTTTTAAATTTTTTGGGCATTTGTTTTCAAATTGATTTGAAGGCATATTTCGGGCACTTTAAGGCCTATGGTCATCAAACTTTGTCAGTTGATGCATCTTGGGTCCTTGAAGTATGTCAACTTAAAAGTAGGTCAGCGTGACCTACTTTTTGAGCTTAATGACTTATTCTTTTTAAAACATTTAATCCAATTATTTCAGACACTGAGAGGTTTAGAATCATCAAATCTTGTAAGTTGAGGGCATCTCAGAACCTTCAATCATATTTATGAAAAAGTAGGTCACTGTGACCTACTTTTTCGCTCACCTCAACGAAGTTGGGTGAGCTTATGTAATACCCTCGATGTCAGCGTCGGTGTCGGCGTCCCAGGTTAAGGTTAAGTTTTTTGGAGCAGTTTTCTTTAAAAGTACTTCTATGTCCTATATTGATTAGACATTCATGGAAGATGGTTCTAGTGTGTTTCATTGTAACAGTCAAAGTTTCAGATGCTGCAATTTCAGCAAAGGAATGACCAGGTTAATGTTTTTGGAGTAGGTTAACATTTTTGGTGCAGTTTTTGGTGTAGATTTCATTTCCAAGAAACTATAAGACCTATGTTGACCAAACTTGCATGGATGATACATCTAAGGATGCATACTACCAGGCTTGCTTCGGATGCTGAATCTGACCTACATTTTCCGATTGAGTGAACAGGTTAAAGTATTTGGTGCAGGTTTCATTTCCAAGTAACTATAAGCCCTATGTTGACCGAACTTGCATGGATGATACATCTAAGGATGGATACTACCAGGCTTGCTTCGGATGCTGATTCTGACCTACATTTTCCGGTTGAGTGAACAGGTTAAAGTTTTTAGTGCAGGTTTCATTTGCAAGTAACTATAAGCCCTATGTTGACCGAACTTGCATGGATGATACATCTAAGGATGGATACTACCGGGCTTGCTTCGGATGCTGAATCTGACCTACATTTTCCGGTTGAGTGAACAGGTTCAAGTTTTTAGTGCAGGTTTCATTTGCAAGTAACTATAAGCCCTATGTTGACCAAACTTGCATGGATGATACATCTAAGGATGGATACTACCGGGCTTGCTTCGGATGCTGATTCTGACCTACATTTTCCGGTTGAGTGAACAGGTTAAAGTTTTTAGTGCAGGTTTCATTTGCAAGTAACTATAAGCCCTATGTTGACCGAACTTGCATGGATGATACATCTAAGGATGGATACTACCGGGCTTGCTTCGGATGCTGAATCTGACCTACATTTTCCGGTTGAGTGAACAGGTTCAAGTTTTTAGTGCAGGTTTCATTTGCAAGTAACTATAAGCCCTATGTTGACCAAACTTGCATGGATGATACATCTAAGGATGGATACTACCGGGCTTGCTTCGGATGCTGAATCTGACCTACATTTTTCAGTTGAGTGAACAGGTTAAAGTTTTTGGTGCAGGTTTCATTTGCAAGTAACTATAAGCTCTATGTTGACCGAACTTGCATGGATGATACATCTAAGGATGGATACTACCGGGCCTGCTTCGGATGCTGAATCTGACCTACAGTTTACGGTTGAGTGAACAGGTTCAAGTTTTTAGTGCAGGTTTCATTTGCAAGTAACTATAAGCCCTATGTTGACCAAACTTGCATGGATGATACATCTAAGGATGGATACTACCGGGCTTGCTTCGGATGCTGAATCTGACCTACATTTTTCAGTTGAGTGAACAGGTTAAAGTTTTTGGTGCAGGTTTCATTTGCAAGTAACTATAAGCCCTATGTTGACCGAACTTGCATGGATGATACATCTAAGGATGGATACTATCGGGCCTGCTTCGGATGCTGAATCTGACCTACATTTTCAGGTTGAGTGAACAGGTTCAAGTTTTTGGTGCAGGTTTCATTTGCAAGTAACTATAAACCCTATGTTGACCAAACTTGCATGGATGATACATCTAAGGATGCATACTATACCGGGCTTGCTTCAGATGCTGAATCTGACCTACATTTTTCGGTTGAGTGAACAGGTTAAAGTTTTTGGTGCAGGTTTCATTTGCAAGTAACTTTAAGCCTTATGTTGACCAACCTTGCATGGATGATACATCTAAGGATGGATACTACCAGGCTTGCTTCGGATGCTGAATCTGACCTACATTTTCCAGTTGAGTGAACAGGTTAAAGTTTTTGGTGCAGGTTTCATTTGCAAGTAACTATAAGTCTTATGTTGACAAAACTTGCATGGATGATACATCTAAGGATGCACACTACCGGGCTTGCTTCGGATGCTGAATCTGACCTACTTTTTGTGGATGAGAGAAAATGTTAGTTTTTGATGCATGTTTCATTTCCAATTTACTATGAGCCCTATAATGAGCAAACTTGCATGGACAATACATCTTAGGATGCACACTAATGGACACCTTCGGATGCTGAATTTGACATACATTTTTCAGATAATAGACCAGATAAAAGTTATGGTTCAAGGTTGTTACCAAAAAACTATAAGGTTTATATAACATTGTATAAACCAAACTTGCACAAATGTTGCATCAAGAGATGAAAACTCTCAAATTTGCTTCAGATGCTGGATTTTGATTATATTTTCATGAAGAAGAACTAGTTTAAATTTTTTATGCAGGTCTATTTCAAAGTATCAGATCAAAATTTCTTAAATATTTTCATTTTTGAAATGTACACTTAGGTTTTCGGAGAGTGACGACCAAAAGTAGGTCACGGTTATGGCTTTGTTTAAATATCTACAGTACTTATTGGCTTAGAATCATCAAATTTCATCAGTTGATGCATCTTGGGTTTTCGGAGAATGATGTCCAAAAGGTAGGTCACAGTGACCTAATTTTTGACGTTTTATGGCTTTATTTAAGTATTTACGGTACTAACTGGTTTAAGATCATCAATCTCTGTATGTTGATGCATCTTGGATTTTTAGAGAATGTGACCAAAAAGTAGGTCATGGTGACCTACTTTTAAATATCTCAGGTACCTATTGGCTTATTATCATCAAACTTTGTTTCTTTATGTATCTTGGGTTTCGAAAATCTTCTACAAAAAATTAGGTCGCAGTGACCAACTTTTGACATTATATGGCTATGTTTAAGTATCTTGAGTACTTATTGGCTTAGAATAATCAAACTTTGTCAGTAGATGCATTTTGGGTTTTCCAAGAATTTAGACAAAAAAGTAGGTCATGGTGACCTACTTTTGGCATTTTATGGCTATATTGAAGTATATATCAGGTACATATTGACTCATCTTCGCTAGCCAAGGGTTTCTGATACGCTACTCTCCTCATAAACCCTTGGCATACGGTGAAGTAAAAAGACGGGATTGTTTTCTTCACGTGATCTTGAATCTATCAGGTACGCACAGATTGCGTCATCGACAGAAATAAAGACGCATGTTTAAAAAAAATTAAATTAAAGTTTTTTCAAGAATAATTTAGAAGCAATAATTGAGTAATGTTTATTTATTATTTATAGTACAAATTGGAAGCTTCAATATAGATTCTTAATCACATATTTAGAAGATATTGGATGACACCATAGCTATTTATAGAATTGCATGTTATCTTACGGATCATTGTTAACTTGCGTTTTTCAATTCCGAGATTAAAGAGTCAAGAAGTATCCCGAATGCAAATATCGTCATTTACAAAAAAAAATTGATGATTGGTCGACAGGTGTGTACTGAAATCCAATCAGAACTCTGCAAAAAATTCCCGATTTTTATGAACACCGTAGGCCAAGGGTTTATGAGGAGAGTAGCGTATCAGAAACCCTTGGCTAGCGAAGATGATATTGACTTAGAATCATCAAACTTTGTCAGTTGACGCATCTTGAGTTTTCGGGGATCGCAAACCAAAAATTACATCACCTTGACCTACTTTTGACATTTTGAGGCTATATTTTCATATCTCGAGTACAGGTTGACCTAGAATTGTTAAACTTTGTCAGTTGGGGCATCTTTGGTTTTCGGAGAATGTTGACCAAAAAGTAGGTCATGGTGACCTACTTTTGAATATTTCAGGTACTTATTGGCTTAGAATCATCAAACTTTGTCAGTTGATGTATCTTGGGTTTTCAAAGAATGTAGACAAAAAAGTAGGTCACGGTGATCTACTTTTAAATATCTCAAATACTCATTGGCTTAGAATCTTCAATCTTTGTCTAATAATGCATCTTGAGTCCTGAAAAAAATTTAATCTTAAAGTAGGTCACTGTGATCTTCTTATGGTTTTTTATAGCTTTGTTATTAAAAATATTTTCAGTCCTAATTGGCTAAGAATCATCAAACTTTGTCAGTTGATGCAACTTGGGTCTTAGGATACTTAGGGTGAGAGGCTTTAAATAGAAGTGATAGTTTGTACAAATTATCAGAAGAGCATTCAAGGCCCTTGGGCCTCTTGTTATTTGATGCATGTAAATAAATTGATAGATTAATTTTATTTGGAATTATAAATTCACAATGTTCGATCTCTGTTAACAGGTCAGAAGACTGGGTAAGAAGAAGAAGAGAATCGTTAAGGTGTCCCTCACCCTCATTGCGCCTCACAGCTCTATCCCTAAAAGGTAACTTCATGACTGAAGAGTTCTCACTAAGGAAGATAGGTAATTCATTGATAATTAGTTTCTTAATAATTTCATAGATTGCATGATTCAGAATAATATGCTTCAATATGCAGGTTGACCCTGAATTACAATCCAAGAACAGTAATTCCTTATAACACTCAGGATTCAGATCTCTTCACGGTTTGTACATTATGCTTTTCTCAAGAACTGCATGTACTCTATGTTGTTGAAAAATATAAATAAATTAATGCTTTGCAGTGCTTTCATAACTGATTATCTTTCAAGATTTTTAAAAGTAATTTTTTAAAAATACACGGTGCTCTTTTAGTGAATTATACATGTACTTGATTTCCAGAAAGTGTCAAAATGATACTGATATACATTTCGTATAATTTTTTTTTGTTTTAAACAGAGGAAAAGGAAACGGTTTAGAGGGTGAGGGTTTGGAAAGGTTCACTAAGGCTGTAGATACAGTTCACAACTACATGACGAAGAAGATCCTGGGTACTCTAAGGAAAGAGGACACAGAATTCATGGAGAGTCTACAAGGTAGTAAACTATTCATTATTCCACACTTGAAGTATTAATGAATGATTCCATTGATCCTAGAAAGCACATATGTTATGTATACCGGTAGTCACAAAATGCAGCCATCATCTTGAATTTTATATCTAATTTTATTTTTCAGGTGAAAACATTTTGCCTCATGAAACTGCATGACTTATAAATATTTTTGATTTTTTTTTCAGAGGAGGAAGAGGTGTGTGAGAATTCCCTGCCCCCCTCACCTGTCCCCCACACCGTGTCTCCCCCGGCCTCACCGATGTCCAGTGTCGACAGTGGAGACAGTCTTATATTTCTAGGCTCAGAGGAACCGGATCCAGAAATCACTAAAATGTGTCTTCTTCAGTACATGTAATCATGTTAGGACAAAATGATTATTAAGTAGATGGTAAAAAAATGAGTAGGTTTTCCTCTTGGGTATATTTGCTTGTTTCCTTTTGTTCTGAATACTCTTACATACATGTAATCAATAATCTCAGTGATTCTTAGAGGCATAACTTAATAAGTATCCATTTCAGATATGAGAAGATTAAAGAGAGAAAGAGAGTCTTGTGAAGTTTTTAAAATCCAGTGAAGTAAAGGTAAGTAGATTGTTTTAAAGGTTAAATTGATTACATGTATCAATGTTAGTGATGTAGAACTCAGTAAAGATTGTAGTGAATCAAACCCACAATGCCATCATTTATTTACTTATATCCTAAGTGTTTAAGTCTGCTGGATAGCTTAATTTATAGGTATTAATGTGTTTTAATTCTTAATAGTATGAAAGTAAGGTGTAAATCTTGCAGGAACACTAGTATTTCATAAAAGAGTTCACGTGTAGCATTTTGAAAAGTTGTATAAATATCTGTTTTATATCTTAAGTATTTTGTAGCAATATCTGCTAGATATCTAAAGAAAGTTTTCGTTAGACATATTAGGGAGTTATTGATGTTATTTTTGTAGCAGTATCTGTGAGATATCTTTAGAGAGTACTACTTTGATGTTATTTTTTTGTAGCAATATCTGCTAGATATCCTCAGGGAGAAGAAGAAGAGTGAGAAACACACCACCTACAGATATGGCCTATCTAAGGCGAGGGACGGCCTTAAAAACCCGGGGTTTGGACCAATCGCTGACGAAGAACAGGTGGGTTCAATGAATCTGTAGGTTTATTAATTTAAGGTGGTATCAAAGTTTTATGTTTTGGCACCAAATCCATTATTGTTCTCATGTAAATTCATGGACAGCTTCTTTTTCCTATTCAGTCTGTTGTCAAATCAATACTGAGTTGATAACCTACATTTAATTTTGTCATGAAAACTTTATAATTTAGAGATTCACTAGATATAATAAACTCATAGTGTATAGAATTTTGGAAATTGTGAAGCAATAATAACAGCTTTTCTTCATTCATGATTTTAGAAAACATTTTCTTAATGCTTCCATGTTGAGCAAAATATGATATACATATACTTTACACAAATGTACGAGGGGCGTTCAATAAATAATGTCATCAGCTCCATGACATACAACAAAGAAATCACATGACATTAAGCTTGACTTTTTCTAATTATTGAATCTTTAATGAATTGATAACAGTTTATTTGACCACTTTTCATCGCATAATTTCATTGTGGAAAGCTGAAAAACAAGGGCTACTCGAGACACTGCGTTAAAATGGTCAAGAATTAGTAAGTTAGAGTAAAATTGAACGCGTCATTAAAGCTGCTGTGAAACTTGTTAATTTCCTAAAAATATATTAACTGAAATATGTGAAAACGACAACATATGTCTGTTTCATACACACATGAACAGGTGGATTTCAATTAACAAAAATTATATAATTGGCATCAAAAATGGGAACCCTCCTTTTCAACAAGGATATACAACAACCATTATATATTAGCGATAATTCAAAAAATTATCACAGATTATGTTTTATTGACTTTAAGTTACATAGCAAATTTGATAGACATCATATCGGGGGTAGTTCACACTGTTTTAAAGAAACATTTGATTGTAAAAAAGTTTAATACTCAAATGTCACCCTATATTTATATATGAGTGAAATCGAGAGCATGTAGAATATCTAAACAATTATTTTTTAAAAATCAAAAATTGTTCTTATCCATTTCTGAAATTCAAACAGATCATGAAACTTGAATCCATTTTGCATTAAACCCTCAAAACAAAATTAGAATAAGATGAACTTGACAATACTGCAAAGGCCTAAGAAAACAAAAATTTGCAAGAACACAAAAACAGTTTTATATGCTATTTTCTTAAATATTAGCGGTCTTGTCGTTCAAATACATATATAGGGAGGCAGTTCAATTTCTGGAGGAGTTAGTAAGCAAAATATTTGCCAAAAAATTGAAAGGTTTATGAGAGGAAGGAAACAGAATGAGGAATTCACTACATTAATTTTTTTTCCTGACAGCGTCCAAACCCACAGGCCATGAAGAGTAAAGGAGTTTTGGGGTAAACAGAAAGTTAATGTTTTGTCAAATCAACAATATTCGCCAGATCTTTCGATCCTTGACTTGTTTCATTTCCCAAACTTAAGAAAACACCTTTCAGAAAGAAAAAACAAGCACAGCAAGTCTTAGGATCTGCCATTTTCCAGTATACGAAGGGTCATACTCAAAACTGTGTTCTAAAAACAATTAGAAATTGAAAAAAAAATGATACGGACATGTCTTTTAATTAAAAGAGAATATTTTAGTTAAATCATTAAGATAAAATCATAGAAAAGCGATTTTTGTTTCTTTTTGAGCCCCTATGACATTATTTATTGAACGCCCCTCGTATTTATCCATATCTTGTTTTCTTTTCAGCATGATGACATTTTGAACACCATGTTGGCCTGGTACAAACAGGAGACAAAGGTTGCTAGTGATGAGTTCCCTGACTGGAACTATGTCCTGGATGTTTGGATACCAGAGGTGTGTTTTATATCTGATATAACTTTACATTGTCAGTAAGGGATTCAAACTATTGTATTATTGATGTACTTAAGAAGTTTATGTTGCATAAATATTTGTATGTTTTAGTCTTTCCACTAAAACTTAAAACATAATGGAATTTTCAATGGGGAAAAAGACAAGTATATATATTTACACACTCATATAAAGAACTTGGTGTAAAGAGAGTTATTAAGCTCAAAGTCAACAAAAGAAATACAGCACAATCTGAATTGCTTTTAAAATTAGCTTCATTGTTTTTTTTTAAATAAGAACAGGTGAAAATGACTTGAATAATTGCAGGCCATAGTGTATGCCTTAATAAAGTTGAAGAAGTACACTCGTAAGAAGGCATGGCAGCGGTTTGAGAAAGGTGTGTACATAACAAAGAAAGAAAGGGCCGAGGTCCACAAGTCGATACTGGAGAGTGCTAAAAGAATATCACCCGAGGACGTACAGAGATACGAGGAGAATCTAAAGGACAGGATGAACGTCATCTGTCAACGGAGCGGACTTCAGAATATCATATTATGATTGCCATCTAAAGGACAGGATGAACGTCATCTGTCAATGGAGTGGACTTCAGAATATCACATTATGATTACGATTTACAGGACAGGATGAATGTGATCTGTGAAAGGAGTTGACTTCAGAATATGAGAGAATGAAGCGGAGAAGGATCCTATGGAAAACCTCATCAATCGGCATTACGGAAACCGAAATGTAGTAAAGTGTGATCCATGAAAAAACTTGTCATCTTTTGTTGACTAGGTTATGTGATATGCAGGTGCTCATCAAGTATTAACTTTAGGGGTTCCTAATGACCACTTTATGATGACTACCATGCGGCATACAAGGGCACGAGTTGTTCAAGAACACACACCACCAAAGTAGGGTCTGTAACATCAGGCTTTGATGATTTGGGGCATACAGTCTGTGAAGATGCATAAAGACTGATTTCTTAATTCATTCGTCAATTAGTGGAAGCAAAAAGGACCATTTATGATTAAAATGTAACCTAGTCTATCTAACATGTACCACCGGAGATAGCAAAATAATATATTCCCATCTCATTACCTCAATGCAAGCCTGTTGTATCATGGATATTTTAACCATTATAATTACATGTGATTGTTATGCCCCCCTTGGAAGAAGGGAGGGCATATTGCTTTGCTGCTGTCTGTCGGTCTGTCGGTCCACTTAGTTTCCGTTCATTTTCTTCGCAACCGTTGCACATACTGAAATGAAATTTGATTTACAGATAGATGAATATCTAGGTCAAGTTCTGTTTTGGGTACAATCGTTCCATTTTTGACAGAGTTATGCCCCTTGGACTTAGAAAAATTTCAATTATTTGCAGTTTCCGCTCATTTTCTTCGCAACCGTTGCACATACTGAAATGAAATTTAATATACATATTTATCAGATAAATATCTAGATCAAGTTCTGTTTTGGATACGATCACACCATTTTTGACAGAGTTATGCCCCTTGGACTTACAAAAAAATTCCAGTTATTTGCAGTTTCCATTCATTTTCTTTTCACCCGTTGCACATACTGAGATGAAATTTAATATACAGATTTATCAGATGAATATTTAGGTCAAGTTCTGTTTTGGATACGATCACACCATTTTTGACAGAGTTATGCCCCTTGGACTTACAAAAAAATTCCAGTTATGATCCGTGGTGACCATAATGATTGATATGATATTTCTAATATAAATGCACAAATTCAAACACAGATATTGGCCATTACCTTGTGGTAAAATATCAAAGCAAGTAATCTAGGGTTTCTAGTCTGACACTTCATCTTTATGATACATGATTATGTACCTCATCAAAAATCAGAATTAGAGATGTCCCGTTGTCTAATGGAAAATAGGTGTTCCGTATGATTCCCTGAGTCCACGGTCACTGAAACATTGGTCAAACTGTATGGACAATGGAGAGCTCAACATCAACACAGACAGCAAACAGCTCACTATCATTGATGACGGGAAAAGGTGAAACAGAAAATTAACACTTTATATTTCCATTCCAGGAAGTAGTCTCTTATGCCCTGAAAAAAAATTCCTGTTAAAATTAACTTAAAATTCTTTATCTATTTACAAAATATGTAAAATGCCCGAAAAACTGTGACCAAAATAAAAAAAATTGATAGGAAATTATGAACTGTGAAATGTACATACGTTACGTCACGTAAGCAAAGTGCTAAAAACCAAAACACGTTCAACTTGATGACGACAAGTTTGTCAACGATTTTTTGTACCATTTGATGCACTAGTCTTATACACATTTTTTCAGTATTTATGGACGATATGCATTTCATGCAGTCTTTTAAGGTTTCGTCAAAGTTCAACATGTCCAAAACTTATTTTTACAATAGCACAAAATTATTTAAGGTATAAAGTTAAAACTTTTACAGTTTAAAATTTTTTTTATTGAAAAACAGATAGAAAGTATCACTTGATAACAAAAACACTTGGAAACAATATTAATTAAGAAAAATTCTTCTAAAAAATGCATATAATTTCAAAAAAATACAGCTAATTAATTCGATCATGATCTTAGTGAAAACCATCATTGCAGAAACAAAATATGTTTATCAATGAAGGGCAAGTTGGACCTGGATAGCCTCTGAAAAGTTGTTTTCCCTGTTTATTTTGTCCAAATGTTAAGACTTGAAAGTGAAAGTACATTGCAAATGGCGAATTCTATATGGGCCTTGTCTTTATACATGTCATGCTTTCAATATAAGCCTTTCAGAGACCATTCACGTCCAACTTGCCCTTCAATGATAAACATATATTATTTCTGCAATGATGGATTTCACAAAAAAGACAGAATTAATCAGATGCATTTTTCTTTAAATATGCACATTTTCTGATACAATTTTTCTCAAAAAATATCTTTTCAAAAATATTTGTTATCAAGTGATACTTTCTATCCATTAATTAATGATATATTTATAAACTGTAAAGGTTTTGACCCTATACCACACATAGGTTTTGAGCTATTGATAATATAATTTTTTTGACATGTTGACCTTTGACGAAACCCTTAACAGTTGTCGGAATTTCCATGGGGTCTGTCTTTTTACGTACGTTGCCTACGTAAAGACAGAGGCAACAATGGGTTGCTGTGCAGTCTCTCGTAAATATTCCCCCTTAGAACGTCTAACCTGTCGTCAGAGAGAGCCTTGAATGGGTTCTAATCAACCCTGAATATGACGTTGACGCGTAAAAGAGCCACGACAAGATTGGGTTATTCACACTGCCATCTGTTTAGTAGCCACCATACTACCAAACAACACTGGAGATGTGAATAGAAGAGGCTTTTATAATCATTACATTACCCATAAAACTAAAGGAAACCGAATGCCCGATTTTATAGTTCGTCATTTATACGTTGTTGTTCTTCTCACTGGTGCATGCGCGCCGTTTGCCTTCTTTGGTATATAGCCAAATGATATCAAGACTTTCTTGCAAAAAGAACAAATGTTTTGTTAGAGCAGAAAATAAATTTGTATATCTGAGGCCATTTAGCATGCAGATTTTTTTTCTTCAGATAATCACGTATAGATATAGGGATCCATCATTAGATGTCGTAACTAAAACATAAAACCTCAACATTAATAGCATATTTATTTTTTGGGTTTAAGGGCATCGTACATTTTTTTTCATACCAGTAAGCACTGTTTTCCTGTGGCAAGTCGGCAGAAAGATATGCAGATAACACATCAGACCAAAAACTCTTTTTAAATCTTTTTAAAGGAGAGGAGTCTAAAAAACAAGATGTGTTTCTGAAACACTGATGCCCCCGTACAAGTACGACAGTTTTTGGAGTTAGTTGAAGTTTCTCAATTGCAAGTCTAACTCCAAGGTCAAGAGATCAAAAATGCTATCTAAACTATCAATAAATAAAAATTTGAAATATGGAAGCCTAATTTTTAACATTTTAAAGGCTATTACAAAGATAAAATGTTTTTTTTAAAGCGGATCAAACTCCAAGGGCAAGATCAAAGGATTAAAACTTAAAATTAATGATACTCAAGGGAAGAAATAAGTTATAAGAATCTAGTGAAATAAAAAAAACAATAGCACCAAATGTTCAAAAGTTATCACCAAGGTTGACGTTTTTCAAAAGCTGTTCAAACTCCAAGGTCTAGGTCAGAATGTCAAAATTGTTTGTATCCATTAAAAAGGTTTTGTGAAAAATCACATGCCTCTGAAATATGAAAGCCATAGACTAGCTGTTCAAAAAGGGATGGC